TTATATATTTTAAAGAAGATATTTAAATGAAAATATAATGTGATAAAACTGACAAAACAAATAAAAACTATATACATAAAATTAATCTTTCTTATTCACATCCTTAGATATCCTAGCTTGACTTCTCGTATTATGCATTATAGGTTGTGTTACCCTCTCTTTGCCCTTATTTCCCTTTCTATAATTACGCATAATTACTTTATCTTCATTCACAACATCGACTTCACGCTCATCACTATTACCTGCATGTTCCTTATTATGTTCGACTATTTGATCACAATAATTATAATCAAGACCAACATTTCTAACAAGATCCTCTTCATCCTCTATACAACTGTCCTCACCTTCAACAATATCAGATCTTACACATTTTAAAGAACGAGAATCATCAATAGTTAAATCCACTGAATATTTATCTGCTTCAGTTGAAGATGCTTTAGATGACTTTTCATTAACATTCTGATGAGCAGTTAAAAGCCTTGCTCAAACAGATCTATACACTTCAGATGTGGTTTGAATATTACTCGAACTAGATAGTTTTTTTTTAGCTACAGATCCAACCTCAACATAAGAAGTATTAGCAGCATACACGTACAGATCTTCCTGTATAACTTCCATATGTCCGACAACAAAAAGTACTGATTCACTTGGACGAACTGAATTCATTAAATACTTAAATCGACTGTTATGATGTGGGAACACAACCTTTATAATAAAACTATAATTCTAACCAGCATAATCATTCACTAACAATTTCAACATTGCACTCTCATCGTTAACCTTTTCCGGAATATCTTGAACAACACCTACTAATGAAGCTTTTAACGGACATCTGTTTGAACCAAGATCTCTCCTGATTGTAAGATGAGTTGACGATACAGCCGTCATCTAAATTTAATAAAATTAATAACCACTAATATAAACACACCTTAACAAATATAAATAAAATTTACTTTTAATCTTAATCTACAATTATAAGTTCCAGGTACAACTTTTCCACAGATGCTATAATATTTGCCTTTTACGAATACTAACTGAACATTAGGATCTCTCTCATCTTCGTTTACTGGAACGAAAAAAACAATCTCTATTTTACAGTCTTCACTTTCAACAGAATACACGCCTAATCCTCACACGATAGTCAGATTTGATTCATCTTTATCAGTTTGTCGAACTTGAATAATTTTTACAATTGTATCAACACAACACGGTATTGCAAACTGCTAAAAAAACTAATAAATAATCAAAACTACTTATATTCACTTTGATGATAACGTAATTTTTTCAGAACATATCACATACGTCTATCAAATTAAAAATAACCTGATGATTTATGAGAAAAATAAAAAACTATATGAACTTCTCACGAAATATTTCATACAAACTCATGTCTAATTTCCTACACACATGATCTTTCGTAAATTTATTAACTAAGCATTAAAAAACTACACATAAATAATCCTATCATAAACAATAGTCATTCATAAAAACCAACTTTTATAAAATCTAATCCCATTCAAACCAAATGACTAAAATAAATAATAATCAAATCGTGAACTCGTGAAAAAAAAGTCCAAATTACAAATTATATACATAAACAAATATAGTAAATATTATCTAAATAATTGAGCCATATAAGCATCCAAATTACAAATTAAACCAATAAATTCGATAATACTATACAAACATCTAACTGTTTAAAAATAAACGTCATAGATGCCAACCCTGCTCATACATAAAAAAGAATTCCTATAACCATCAGATATATGTAATCCGTACCCATTCTGACAAGTTATGCATTTATTTGGAAAATCTAATTTATCATAATTCAATTATGTAAATACCCGAATACACACCTGCATATGCATAAACATGGCTCACCCACAAGATTTTTTTCCGGCACATGGGTTTTAACCAATCAAATCGAAGGATCAGTTATAACGTAAAATCTAAACAAGCAAAAAGATCACAGATGCTGATCGTACTGGTCTTGTGCGGCATCACGTGCTGTGCAGCTACCTTATTTAGTATATTTTTAAGATATTGTATATGTTATATAATATGATATTATGAATAGGAATAAAAATCGGCTATAACTAAATTGACTAAACATTATAATTTATATATAAATTTTTTAGTCAACTAAATCAATTTCTATTTCTAATTATGAATATAACTTTCTTTAGAAAATACATATATGCAAATATAATTTAGTTTTTTTTTTTTTTCTTCCGTATTTTGAAGGTCTTTAAACACTTTTGGATCTCTCACACTCTCAAAAACCAGAGTTCATATTTTGTAGAGATCAATAGACAGCTATATAATATCTATATATCATTATACTGATAAGATAACTTATGCTTCATTAAGTTTGTTATATAACATTCTGGGTCTCTGGTTTATATTACCTGATTGTAATTTTTTTTTATACTTGAAATAGAAAAAAATTGCAGAGAGAGATTTTTTACTTTTAATTGCTATATAAACAAAGAAATATATTTTGCAAATATATGCATATACAGTATTATATCTGCTTTTTGATAAAGCCCAAAATTTTGAAAAGAGTTTATACAGTACCCTACTATATTATTATAGACACTTTTTAAAATTTTATACAAAGCTAAATAAGCAAGCTATTAAGCTAAAAATAAAATTATAAATTTATTAAATCTATATCTTTTAAATAAAAAAAAGATTATTAAATTCTATGCAGTACTTCTTGAGATAATTAAGATTAGAGAT